TGCTCAATACAATATCGATAGCTTGCGTTCAGGTGGCTTTGGTCGTGAAATTTTATCCCTTCTGATACGTAACCCAAAACTGCCAAACATATAATTCACTAACTAATGCAGGTCTGTGCAAAACTAGTTTGCGGCTTAGAAATTAATATCTTAAAAGCTTTTTCTCATTTTGACAATGTAAAAAGCTCGTCTTTTATACGAATTGTATGAATGCGCTGTCGAAAAGACGAATTCGCGTCATGCATCTTCTTGATATTTAAGAGTGTTTCAGGAGAAAAAGTTGACGCGCAAGTAAAATTACGTACAACGCGAGAACTTTTGACATTTTATTCCTATGCACTTCTCGCATATTTCTTCTCGGAATTTTTTCCTACATTCTACAGGAATATAATTTTACGTGCATTTTGCCGCTTAAAGACTCGCCGTATTTTTCGCGCCGCCAATAAGATTACCGACATCGTTCGGCGACCATGACGGTGATATGCTGCGGTCAAAGTGTAAAAGGAGGGGGAGGGGCTTAATGGAGGAACAGGCCGGCCGCAGGCCGTGCAAGTACACAGTAGTTTTTAAGGACGGAAACGCTTTTACCGCGGCGGTCGTCTTTTAGCCGCGGCACTTGCCGTAATCTACTTGCAAAAATGCAATACGCCGCGGTTAAAGCTGCGCTGTGCAATAGCGCCCGGTCGACTTTACGAACGAAAATAGCATTTCGGTGGAACGACGTCGAGGTACTTCCGCAAATTGCGTGAAGAAACTCTTACATACGCGTGAAAGCAGTGCTCGCAATGCACCTATAGAAATTGCTTTAGAAAGGATGTGGTAGAAATAGAAGCTTCGTATACTGTATATTCCATATAATCAATGGAGAATTCAGATCTTAAAAAAAGCTAATTTTGAAACCGTCTGTGCATTATCTATATAATAATCCTTTCTTTTAAATTATTTTTAATATTAAAAATATCTCGTCCTTAAATTATTTAAAGTCAGCTTTGGAAAAGAACGTTAAATATTATAACTCTTTTTATAATTACTTCAAAATTCCAATTTTTCGCGTTTTGAGACAAGTTTGGGAATCTCGGACGCGGCCTTATATACATATCTGTTAATCTACGTACATTGCATGAATCTTATCCATCGCTTCAACTTTGTCGGTGAAACGCGCGGATCGATCGCGGAGTATCTGCGGACGTCAATCTACCGCCGTTCGCAAACTTATTCCGGGTCTCTATTCGTGGCCCATGGAGTGCAGTAGATTTCGCGTGAAACGCGCGAATCGACGCGGCAGTATTCGGTATATCCGTTCGGCCCGATCGATTCGAGGATCCTGCCGAACCGTATATCGCCTGTGCAGCCGTTAACTCCGGCGCTACACTATACACGTCCACGCACACATTAGCAAGCCCTAATGTGGATGGAAACTAATGAAACTTGAGCTTCAGGCGCTGAAACTATCTATAGAATAATGCTATCAGAAACACTTGCTAATTTTCAGAAAATAGACCATCTAATATATTTGTTTATTTTCTGAAATTGATGGTTTGGCTAAAAATACATATGTTAAAAACAGCATTAATTTCACAGAATGGGAAGGCTTGCTTTGAGGTGCTTTTTTGCCAAACAATGTACACAGATAAAATAGAAAAAAAGAAGAGAACTATTTGTTGAAAAAAAAATTATGAATAAAGGACTAGACAAAATATCAAATTTCTGATAATAACTTAGGCTGGAAAAAAAAACTCGAGAAACGATGAAAGATAACGTGCAAACATTAATGATCGTGATACCGAACGATATGAAGCATTTTCTCTCGATATCGTCCGGTGGAATTCGAGAAACGTCGTTGTCGAGATTTAAACGAGTTGCGTGATAAGAAAGAACCTATCGGCATCCGAGCCGAATAATGAGCTTCCGCTAAAACGGTTAAAGTGGTTCTTGTAAAACCGTACGCAGTTGCTCGGGAGTCTCCTGCGGGACTTGTGCCGATAAGATAGCGTTACTTCGATATCCCTTTAAGACCCGTCCGTTCCTTCTCATCCCCGTTTTCCCCGGCATCTTCCTAAGATCGCTATCCTCCGAGGAAATATCCTCTCCTTCTGGGATACTCGGTAAAACGTTTCATCTTCATTCGCTCCCGTGTAGCGGAAAAGAGCTGGACGGACGGGATAGTTACTGCAATTGGAGTGAAAGAACATTTTCCCCCGCAATCGACCCGGTGTCCTTGCGGTTTCGTTAAAACTGACATTGCGAGCTAAATCTATTCTGTTATGAAATGACAAATGATGCAAACGAAACTTTAATCGTCACGCGAGACATTAATGCGCACGCCGCTTGAAAACTATTATATCTCTGACTTGGAAATACGTATAAAATTAATCTTTTAATAAATTTTCGAAATATTTTTAAAAAAAGTTTGCGCGATGAAAACGTTTGGTGTTTAAAAGTAAATGTGTCAACAGTACTCCGACAATTTCCCGAAATTTTTACTAATAGAAATATATATATATATTTTTTATTTTTAAATACAATTTCCGATATTTTCACTTTGCAACTACATAAAAACATCCAGTGTCGGCTATGAATTCGAGAATATGCAGAAAATGTGAATGTTTACAAGTTTTTCGACGATACTAAAATGTTAGATCAATCTCATCGAAGGGGGGGGGGGAGGAAAGCACAGACGGGGAGAGATCGGATCGGAAGAATCCGAGGATACCTTCCCTACCTCGCTAAATAATCCCAAGTGAAAGAAACTACCTTGGGTCGATGGATTAGGGAGCGAAGCTTTTCGATGTTTAATTAACGTCGACGGGATAAGCTCCGTTACAAGAAAGCTCGACCGATCGCCGGATAATCGGAGAGCTTCGTGGAAGAAGACCTTTCCGGGGGATATATCTCGATGGAGAGTCCGTTGGGCTCGATGGACGAGCTCTTCACTTGGGATTTAATTTTGACTCGGCTTTATCTCCGCCGTCGATCCCGGATTTATGGTGATTAATTCGCTCGACTTGCTGTTGATGGAAATTAAAACGGAACCGCCTTTCGGTCGGCTGCTCTTAATTTGTTTTAATTGCAATAATTGTGTGTTCGCGTATTATTGTCAGATTATTTTGCGAGAAATAAAACGTTACATAGAAATTGTGCGCTAATTCTGTGATAATTAAGAAATAATTAAGTAATTCTCTTTCACCAACTAATAACCCATACTATTATCTGTTATTACATTATTAATAATCGTAATAATCTTAAGGAATTATTTTAACAGATTCCTGCTTGATATATTTCAAATAATTTTCTTTAAAAAATTGGAAGTTAAAAATTCTGATAAATACTTGATCGGAAAATAAGCAAATATTCCCGCAATCCGATACCATAATCAATATCATATTTATCAAAGAATTAACACTGTAAAATTAAATAATAATTCCTTATGATTTTCACAAAAATTCCCTTTATTTCATTGTTTCGTATAAACCTCGATTTTATGCTATTAATTTCTATTATACCATTTATGTCAAAATATCTCTTCTCAAAGTGCGAATTACATTGAACTCGATTCATAATATGCATCGCTTAGCGATTATATTTTGCGATATTCGATTTACAACCTGAATTTATGAAACACGTATTTCGCGTATCGAAGTCGCTGTCGAGATACACGAGTGATTAATTACCGATGTAGGACCTAATTCTACGCTCATTCAAGCGTTCGCGGTCGCTTCGAAATAACGTTTCGGCCATTAAAACATTATCTTGATTGGCAGATATAAAGCCGGCAGCAGCGCCAAAATTTAATGAGTCGATTGAAATTATATCGCTCTCGCCTGCCAGCCGTTTGGGATTTTCTGCGGTCGCGAAGCGCGCCGAAACCGGGAGTCTTCGAATTTCGTGGTATTTGCACCAATGTACAGCGCGGCGTGTTCGGACTTGCGTAATCGATGTTTAGAACCGGCGGGATCAGATTCCTCGCGAATTCCAATTTCGCTCTACTTCATTACTTCCCATCCTCGAATCCATTCGCGTCGTAGATGCTCGCCGGTATTCAGACGGTATTATTGCCGATTATACAGGATGTTCCACAAACTACTGGATATTACGAATTCTGCTATAAATTTATTAACTTTTTATTTAAAAAGTCAAACCTTGTAACGCCAAATATCTTGATATTCAAAACCCACAATTATTATTTTTCTTAGTTTATCAGCATTTGTAATTGAATTAGTACCCAATTGTTTTTAAGATACCTTGTATATTTTTTGACTATCAAACAGGGGAATGTTGTTATCTGAAACCGCGCTGGTTGTAAGATCTGCTCGAAGGAATCGTGATGGAAAGCGAAGCTTTCGCGTGCAAAGTCAACGTCGACGTCATCGTGATTTCGCTGTGTGCGTTTACCTTATCGACGAGGTATCGCGTCAAAACTATTACCGCGATAAAGCCGTTATTAACACGAGGCGAAAAAAGAAACAATGCACGCGAGGTCACGGAAGAAACGGGAGCCGCGAATAGACTCGCTTAATACATTTAATTATTATTTAGTTCAAGTACGGGAGCATTTTCGCGCAGTAAAGTATAAACTGATAAAGCAGTGCCTATCAAGTCTGTAAAATGATGAATATAACAGTCCACGGAAATTCCGAAGAAATTTAAATTAAAGCGCGCACGCTTGCAAATCGTATTAAGTTTCTCGCAAGATGTATGCGGCAATTTTGCAGCATCAATTTGAGTAACGAACACGAGACACAATTAAATTAAAAACAAGCGACTAATTAATCTTCTCGCGCGAAATTACTCACATTCGTCAGTCTTTTGACTTCGCCGAAAGAGAAAGGCGTAACGTACATTATATTGTACGTTATTACCTTATTTTACGTTATTGTACGTGGCAAGCGCAGGCGCTCGCGAAATTTACGGTGTTTTGCGGCGTTTTTCGTTTTATCAGCCACGAGGCAATATCCAGTTGAACCGCGAAATTTCTCACGGTTGTTTACTCGCTGTTGCAGCCCTCATGGATGCGGAGCCGGGAGTATTGGGACGACAGTTTCGAAGCGCGTTTCGCTGAGCTGCGGAAAGATCCAACGAGGCCGCCCTTGAAGGTAAGTTAATTAATCGTTGAAATATTCACGTGAGCGGTTCGCGTGCACGGCGACTCTAAAATTGGATTGTCCAATCAAGAAGCCTGGCCTGGCGATCATATAGCCGACTGTTATATACATATAATATATATTTACGTTTGTCGTCGTATAAACTTCAGAACAATAATGACGTTGGACGAATCCAATCTCGGTAAAAGCTTACGGTCAATCGGGATTAATAATTGAGACGCAAGATAAACGTGATATCAAAATGCAATCCAATAGCATTTTAAGAGCGACTGATAATTACTTATTGATTTATCGCGAAGTTAGGAACAAGTTTTTCAGTTGTATTATTCGAAGATTGTATTACTCGACGCTCCGTTTATAATAGTGTTACAATTGTGCGAAGCATTTTGCATACATTTATCGTTGTTTCGATGACACCATTTTAAACATGCGGTGAAGAATTCAGCACAATAACGCAGTTGCAAACAAACGACGGGTGCGGGGGTGGCGGGAGGGTGACGGGGATTATTCTATAAAATCATCAGATATGAGAGAAAGGCGTAAGACGATATAAACAGCGGAAATGTCGGAGGCGAATACGAGATATCCGCGACCGCTCGTGCGAAAGCTCTTCTTAGTGCTTTCACGTTGCCGTTAATGCGAGAGCGAAGATTTACGATGCCGAGGGAGTGTAAAAAGCTCATCTGACGCGCCCTGGGAGAATCGTGAAATCGGGAAGGAGGCTTTGTTTATGGCGTTATATCTTTCGAGTTACTCTCGCGATTTGCTTTCCGCGAATGTTTGGATATACGAGATTTAAATTTTTATCACATTTTTTTTACATAAATCTTTTTATGCGTCATGAAGAGCATATTTGATTTGTCAGTGTATTTTAACGGAAGTTATTTATCAACTTTATGTGCTCACCATCTAAGTACTGTGTTTTTATTATAATTATATTTTATTTATTATTATGTTATGTAAATATAATAATGATGGTAAATAATTACCGATAAAGTCGGTCTTTAATCTTTGGAGGTTTAAAGTTGTTATCGCATTATATGTATAGGGAAATTATTGAAAATAAATGTACAAAATGTTTAATATGCTATAAGTAATTTCCAATAAGTAAATTTTAACCGGATTTTGCTACTATAATCCGAGAAAATAAAATCAAATTTTGAAAAAATACACGATTTTATGGAAGCTTGATTGATCTGAGAAACGTTAAACATATATTTTGAGACTTGTAAAATAGAGAACTACATAAAAATAAAATGTGCAATTTGTTATACATGTATATGACTTATATATGTATATTTTTTCTATATTTCGATTGTTATTTTTTCAAGTGCAAGTTATAGCGACAAAATTCGAATTTGCAGAAATTACACATTAAAATTTTGTATACGTTTATTTTCACTAATTTCTCTATATATTCTTCGTATATACAGCGGGATAATAATCTTAAATAATAAATATTTTTAACTTTATATTTCGTAGCACAATAGTGAGTTATTGTATTCGAACATTCAGAGAGACCGAGATAAAAAAGGATATTGAAGATTATCTCTTACTTGATCAAAACAGACAACGCTCGCGAGTATTGCTGTGCGCAAGTAGTACAGATACTCCTTTGCTCAGCCGTGCGCGACTTCAATCACTAGCGGAACAAGTTCTTCATCAAGCACCGTACTTACGGTTGTTTTCTCTCACGAGAATCATTGAGCGAACGATCACATCTCGTACGGAGCGAAGTATAAATTAATCCTTAATGCATTCTTAAAAGATGCAAAATCCTGCAGTGGAAGTTTGTCTGTTTACTTATTTGCCGACGGCAAACGCATTGACGCGAAAAAACCTCCCTCCCGTATACACTCGCGGGTACTGTAAATTCCGCTGTGTTGCGGTTTTCGGGCAAACCTTTGTACGGCTGTCATCAACTATCGTCCCTAGACCCACGGTGGTTTGCCCTCGACGAGACAACTGACAGAATCGTTTGATTAAAGCTCGCGAGCGATTCTCCATTATGAGACGACGATTGCGAATTTGTTTCCATTTGCTTTTATACATGTACGCCGCTCACCTTTCCAAACTTTGACTACGATTATATTTATAGCTTCCATTTGCAATTATACATTTTAACTTTCAATTGTAAAACTCTGATAAACGGTTAGCGGAGAACAATTTCGAAACAGAGAAATGTTATCGTAACTATCATGGATATTGCAATTTGATGATGAAAATAATATTGCAAATATTATTTCGAATAAATATTAACTTGATAAAAAAAATCAAAAAATATGATTTTGCGCGTTATTAAAACGCGTGATTAATGCTTAATCTAAAAATGGGATGCACACAGATTACCATTATAAAAGTGACGTTAATCCGACGAGCGTTGATGTTATAACACACATTTGTATTTTATTTTCTGAAGTTTTATATTTTTCGGTCATTTTTAAAGTACCCTGATATGATAAATTAGCGCTCCTTGCGACTTTAATATTTTTTTCCACTGTAAAGTTACGAGCCGCGCGTTAACGTGGCATCGCGCCAGCCAACGACGACAGGCAATTACGCGTAGAAAGAAGGAATTCTTCGTCGCCCGGGTGGGTAATCGTGCAGAAAATCTGGAATATGTAAAATTCATCCGCGAGAGAGGAGCATTTCGCTCCGTGTCGACCCTTCGATCCGTCTCGAAGGAAATAAGGCGTCCGCGAATGAATTTCGAGTGACGCTGCGCGTCCAGAAAATATCGCGGACATTTGAAAACAAAAGTTTCGGCATTTTGATGCTGAATCGACTTTTGATTCGAGCTTGATATAACTTGACAAAATTTTTGAATGAAAAATGCTCCTTAAATAACTCTTCAAAGAAAACTGAACGCTGACAGTACTTGATGCGACTTGCAATTGTCTGTTCTTGCTGTGTCTGTTTCTACTCCGCTGGAAGAGCAGGAAGAGTTGCAGTAATTACTTCCTATTTTTCCCTGGATGTTGTCATGAGTCGCTACAGTGCTTCGCGCGTTTCGTACTAAAAGTCGCTGCGTTCTCGTGCAATTGCTTTCTTGCGGAGTGTACACTCTGCTTTATTTACTGCTTTATTGGTAGAAGCGAGACTTCTCCGCGCTCCGCATTTCACGAAGAAAATTGCGAGAAACGCAATATCTTGCGCGTCTCAGCCGTTCGTCGCGTCCGCGATGCTTAGCGTCGCGAATCAAGAATCCCGGCGTTCGAGAAAATCCTGCCGAGTTAATCCGAGGATCTCGAAGATGATATCGAAGCGAATGCTCGACCGACCGTCGAAACTACTCGCGTCGCGAGGTAAGGCCGGCCGATTTCCAATTGGATGCAGCGGATGCACGTGTTCCTCGCGAGGAACGGGCGTACCGCCTACGACTTCCTCTTCCTCCTTCGTCATCCCCCGATCGGATCCGGTACAAACAGAGTTCGACGAGTTCGACAATACCGGCTCATCAGTCCATTGTCGTGAAGATACAATAGCACGAGCGGCGACAGTCCTTTGGAAAACGTGCACGACAATGGCGTCCAATGGGCGCGATTTCGGCGACTGTATGTGCCGAATGCACCGCTGCGAGTCAACGAAGACTGTCCTTTCGGATCTGGATTCGACCGTATTGATGCGGAGATTTAGAGGCGGTCGCGATGTCGAGCTTTTAGAGAAGGAAACGTCGCATGTATGGAAAACGCTATCGGTTTATAGGAAGTCGATCGCGCTGATAATAGCTCGGAAAGAGCAGAGTTCTTTCCTAGACATCGGATACTATTCTGTGAAGTTGTATTGCAATGCTAATAATAAAGATATTGTATGTAAAATTTTAAATAATTGATAAAAATAATACGTGTACGACAATTTGTATAATTACAATACAATATACAATACGAATATAGTGCACAGGAAAAAATAATGTTGCATTAACAACGTTCGTCCAAGTGGAATAAATCTGGATAATTCGACAACAGTATTAATTAAACAAAAACATAACGTGTTTATTTGATTAATACTGTTATTGAATGAACTGGATTTATTTGCTGCACAATAAATTGGACGAATGCAATGTGGATGCAACATTATATTTCTTTTCTGCCAAGATACAGTTAATCTTTATCAACTTATAAGAAATAATTCTTGATGTGTAATGTCTGTCTCATTTTGAAGCCGCGTGTAACGGAGTGTGTAACGCGCGTAATGCCGAACTTGCATCGGATGTGAGGTATCGGTATTCATATAACAGCCCGATGCTCGCTTCGTCTACATCTGCGGAATCTTCAAGGCGAATCCGATGCCTGGCGTCAGCAAGCCAATTATGCCGATGTATCATCTAAGGCATTTGAGGGATTCGTTAACGAAGTTTCTCGCGCATCTCGCGCGACTGCATTACGGTTTCTCAAAGAACGCGTACGTTCTCCTCGCTTATACGTGCACCAACGTCTCTCCTTAACGCGCCTCGCAGGCGCGTAAAAGGACACGATACACGAGACACGCTGTAACAGTTGTAAGGATGCGTGCTGCGAATATGCGGATGTAGAACTCCGTGCTGTTATATTACGCGAAATACTGCTGAGAGAGTGCTGTTCAATCTTGCAACGGTGACTCGCGATTTTCCAGGCGCTGAATCTTTTTCAGCATAAAAATATTATTTTCGACGTAAAAAGGGATTGACGGAAATTATTCATAGTTTGTATTTTTCATTTCCACGTATCAATGGCGCGCGAGCTCTAAACAAAAAGCATTGTAGCTGCATTTTCTGGCATTTTTTATTACAATCATTTTTCAAAGTTTTTTTTTTTAAATCACAATATGCTTCAAACACAATATGCTACATGGATGAAGAATATGATATATAAATGAAATATAAAATATAGGAAATATAACACGAAAAAAATATGAAAGGATATATGCCAATTCTCTCTGGAAAAGCTACAGTTCTACAGTTATAATACTTTTCACTGTTATTAATATATCGATGCAACAAAGAATAGTTTATT